TAATAATGAATGATTTAGCAAGAAGACGAAGAGACGACGCGAGACGCCGGTACCACCTCTTTGATTCCGCGGTCCTTCCTGCCTTGACGTACGCTCTCAGAGACTTTGGACTCTACGAAAAGCAGGATGAGCCATGAGCGGTCGGCGTTATTCAACCGCGCCATCGAAAGGGCGATGCTCGGAAAGAAAGTTTCCTGCGCTACAGGGACGCAAGGGAGAGACCCGCCGAACTCCGCGGAGCTCGCACTCCGCCGGAGCGGATGCGGAGAGTCAAACCCCGCATTTGCCAGGTTTGAAGATCAAGGTGGGCCGGAACAGTCAAATGAACACGACAGCGACGACCGGCTGACCATAAGCCGTCACTCGGCTGGATTCCCACGGGATGTCAAAGCGAAACGCAGCCTGGACCCTCTAAGCAGAGAGACCTTCATTGGGCAACGTCTTGCAACGTTGGCAGGGACGATGGAGATTCGTTACTGGGGCGCCGCGCTCCGAGGAGAGCGTGCGGAGAGGTGAAGCGGGCGCGGCAGCAGTGAACTTTCGCTTGTGAAATGCAGGCTGCAATTTTGGCTTTCTAATACACCTTATAGATCTAATAATCTACTAGGCCTCATTGAAAGTTTTATTGTGATTTGCGGACTTGCCCTGGTAAGATGGCGCAATATGGCGTTCGCGGCGAGCGGCAACCACCTTGCACGCGTTTGTCGATTTATCGTGCTCATCATTCCAGTCCAAGTATGCAGGCCAGCGCCTACCACATCTAGGGATTAATGTATTCATTTCAAATATCATTGTGTGGCGGCATCAGTGGTTCCAGGGGTCAGGCGCGGTCGCTTGTTACCCGACATGTTGAACGTGCTGCTCATGGAAGTTGAACGGCGAAGTTAACGTGGGTAGTATTGGATCTGATGGCATTATATTGGCGCTGGAGGCCGTCGTATTTTCCGCGAGATCATTTGCAAGATGGCATAATGGAGGATGTCTTAGCGTTATAGACCCTGTTGCAGAGCTTACGTGTTTGCTGTTACCCTTGGTGCTGGGGATGATCTTTGATAGGGAATATGTCAGGCGCCAAAGTCCATTAATGTTTAGCTTCGATATAAGGGATTTGATGCAAAGAGCTCGCTCCTATATTGGCGGAAAGAAAACAGTTTTATGAGCTAAGAGTATGCACTGCGCAAGCGAACTGGCCAAGAGTGTCGATCAGGCAGCAAGTCTGCAAAAACTGTACAATAAGGCTGTGACTGTCCCACGGAGGATTTTGCGTGAGGTGTTCCCACGTAATTTTTGATTTTTTCCCTCTAACCAGAAAGTCAGCTTATCGACTGCTTGTTCAGAATTGCAAACTCGTAAATACTTGGTCGCATCAGAAGCCTTTGAGAAGAGCCCACCACGGTTCAACAAATAATAACCGGCGGTACCAACGGCGGCAATTGAGAGGGACAATTACCATCACAGGTGTTACAGCCTTGCTTGACGAGGCGCTTGGTGGGAACAGCTTGTGAAACTAAACTTGAAATCGTTTAGGCCACTGAAGGATGATAATTCAGTCGAACGTTAGTTTATTGAATTTTTCCACCTAGAAACCTAGTGAGGCCTTGAATCAGGAATAACACCGACTGATACTTTCTCCTGAACACCGGGCTGCTCATGATGAGAAAGCGCAGGGCGGGTAAGCTATCCCACGACCGTCCGTGACACCGAGCCTTGCCGGACACAGGAACTGCTACACTGATATACAGTTTCCGAATAAATGGTTAAGCGCTTTACCAGAACTGTGTTGTTGGCAGGGGAAAAAGAACTGGAGCACGCTCCGCGTTTCATTTTGGGAGTGTCTCTTCAGCACGCCTTCTCCTGCACATGGGCCTTCGCAGCATTAGAGTGCGAAATCGGTGGGGCCACTCGCGACGCGCAGACAACGGCCCCCCATCGCACTGCGTACGGCAACGTTGTCAGAATCATCTTTATCTGCTACCTGATGGTGCGCCTTGTTCGATACCGGATCCCTCTCTCGATTTCATGGTGATGGTGAAGGTGAGGTGATAAGGAGAAGAGCTCGCCACCATCTCAACTTCCGGGACCAGCGCCTTTTCCTTCGGCCTTATTATGTATAATCAGGTTTCAGCATGAGGCTACCATCTGGGCATTCTCGGATGCGCTTTTTCCGGGCTTTTTTTTCTTCATTTTTGTGACTAAGCACCATCTGTTCATTAGGCCTGCTTGAGCTGCTCCAGCTCAGCATATTGGGACAAAGGAACGTTCCATTGAGATAAGGTTTCGTCAAAATATTGAGTGAGCTTTTGATTGTTTTAGCGCACATGAGTGCCGAGGAACGAACCACACTGCTCCATTTTGTGCGACTGAATGAAGGGCATGGCGAGCACAGGGGCAAATAGTAGCGAAGGGGGTGAATGACCAAAAAATGGAAAACTTCCCTTGAAAATCAACCAAAGTATCTTCTTGCAAAACCTTTCTGGTTCACCGTGAAGTTTCTCCGAGAACAGGCGAGTTTCAGAAGCCACTACATAGAGCTTTGAACTCTTGTTGCAATATTACAATATACACAATAAAGCTTGGCAACACAGAGGGCGGGAGATACACGTAACATGAAAGGAAATTTTCTACTGACAGGCAGTAGGGACGAAGAGGCTCCACGAATGAGCGATTCGCGGATCAGGCCATCGGGGCAAAAACTGACTGATCAACACGACTTTCACAAATAGAATTGTCTCGAATTCAACTTTTTAAGAACTTTGTCATCTTCGCATTAAGAGATGAAAACTATGATCGAATGCCAGTAGCAAATGCCAAATAACCTTTCATTTCAATTTTGAACTGGATTTTTTGCACGTTAGACTAATTTTTCAAGATCAAAACGTGGACATTTTTCATCCAACTGGAGCACAGATGGGTATCAGGTGAGGACTATTGGCAGGAAACCTTGTCGAAACAAAAATTAGAAATCACTAAAGAAATTTTCGCGAAAAGACCAGAAACCGCCTCCAGGGTGTGATTAAGGGAACCACCAGTTGAAAGCGACTACAAACAAAACATGTAAGCAAGCGCAATTCTTTTGCACAAATCCGCAGAGGATGACGTCAAACTTTAGCAGATCTTTTGCTGTTTTCACTGGATAAAGTAGTTATCGGGCGCGAGTGTATATGTATAATAAAATCGCTTGTCATGCAGCATATTAAGGTATAAGAGTAATATATTCATTATTCTGCGCAATAGGAAACAACGGATAAGCGGAGGGATCAAGCATAGAAAACACAGGACGACCTTAGGAATAGGAATCATCTCTCTATAACAATGTCGAGAGGCGGCAGGATGATGAGTTAGCGCTGTGTACGTGATATCCTGGACTTTTTGACCGCATTCTCACCAATCAACATTCAACAACGCTATTGCATCACGAACTTCGCCAGCAGCCCTTCTTTCTATAACCAACGCTTCGAAAGATCCTAGCACACGAGATGGTTGGATTCTCCGTCACTACAGACCACCCCTGTATGAACCTCCGCGCCGAACCCGGTAATCGAGGAGGTTTAAGTCGAGACACAGCTTGAGTATTATCGCGTCTTTTAGCAGTACTGCCAACGCCCTTCGTGACGAATTAGGCCGAGATTCTCCGCAGTGCGCCCTTCGGATTCGGCAAGCTGATCAGCGTGTAGCAGTGCGAAGCTTCCAAGATGGTAGCAGGTGACGGCATGGATTCTCGTCGAGTGCCTGTTCGATGGTGAGAGGAGAGGGTGACGGTCAGCTTTTCAGTTCCGGGTCACAAAAACATTTTCGTTCCAGAACTTCCTCTTCTTCTATCGGGTTGTCGAGCTGCTGCGAGGTGGTGGTGAGCATGCTGGTGACTCGAGTAGAAGAAGTTTCGGCAGCTGCTTGGAGGTGACGTAAATTCATGAGATTCTGGCAGGCCAGGCTGCGGCCTCATGGAATATCCGTCACCTCCAAGTAAGTGAAACTCTTCTATCGAGTCAGCCCCCATAATGACTGAATTGGAGATGGCTTTCATATTCTGGTGTATCTGAAGCGTGATAGACGAGGAAAGCCTGCTTTGCTTATCGAGAACATTCTGGTATATCTTTCCTATTTTCCGATACTCGTATCCAAATCTTTTGTATGACTGCGTAAAAGCTTACTGTGATGGTGACTGCAGCCAAAGTGGCTTTTTTTTTGCTCGTCCCCCCTGTATTCGCTGGCGCGCCTGGCATTAATTTCATCTCAAAAGCGGAATTCTCAGGAAGCTATCTTGTTAGTGGGCCATCCAGCTTGCCTCTGGAGTTAACCATGTGTAAGCATGAAAGCAGGCCAGTACACGTCATACGTTGGGGATCCCCTGACAGGGCGTTCGCACTTGTCGGCTAGAGGGGAGGTTGTATTTTGCGGTGAAAAGTTCTTGATGGTCTTTGTTTTTTTGCTCTGATAAGTATAGGCACGATGAATCTCGTAGACGCGAGAAGGATGAATACGCACGATAACCAAAGAATATCGTGGTTCTATTCAATGAGACTAGCCTCCGCAAGGCATGTTTTTCGAAAAGGCAGCTCATTGTACGCCCCCTAAATCAGGAGCTCGCAACATGCCGACGCAGACGCTCACCACAAAACCACATCACGCGCCGCAAACGGCTGGCGCAGTCCTTTCGACATCGGTAAGCTGCCTCTGTGGCGGCGCTTCAACTATGAGGTAACATTGACATGGAGCGTTGTTTCATGATATGGTGAATGCATAGCGGGGCAGCATGCCCCAAAAAGGGAAACTCGCCCAGTGCCGTGTAGTAAAAAGATGCCTCGCAGGTTTTCGGCGTTCAACATTTCATTTCGTCCTTTCGCGCAGCTTTATAAAACCCCTGCTTCTATTTTTGAGCGAGCACAAAATAATCGTGCTTTATGCCTTTGATGGGAACTTCCGATAATTAAGAACATAGTGATTTTGAAGTGTGCTATAAAATTTGTGCTATAGATCTTTCCTGACAGTCCAACACTAACTACACTTTTCTGCGTTGACTTATCAGGGAGGAAACTCACGGGAAACTCTATCGATTTATCCTTGACCACCTTTTTATGACCGCAATCTGGTTTCACATTCGCATAGTATTTTTCTGAATAGAAAGTGGTGACGACTATGAAAGAAAGGACGATTTCACGAGCAATTCGAAGGCAAGTGGCACGATAAATCGACAAGGTGTATAGAATTAGTAGGGCTAACACGAAAGATTACAGTGCCTTGCACAAGCACTGCGTTGTGCCCTCGCTGACCAATAGCTTTATTGGGCTGCGTTCATACTTTGCGTCCACTAGCAAACAACAGCGTCTACCAGCGTCCCGAGCGTGCGGCAGCGTCAGCGACCAGGAAAGTATAGATATCGATCCAGCGTCTGTCAGCGTCTGACAGCGTTCACCAGCGTCTTGAGAGCTAGGGAGTATAGATATTAATACGGCGTCTGCCAGCGTCTGGCAGCGTCCATCAGCGGCTACCAGCGTCCGGGAATGGAGAGTATGGCGCGATAGAAAGGCAGGTGGTGGGACCTGGACATGCGGCAGACACTGGCAGCCGCTAGATCGATACCCTTAATGTCCTAGCCCTCGAGATGCTGGTGGACACTAGTGGCCGCTGGTGCAAAGCAGTCTTGTAGCGATTAGCAAGGTGCAACATGCCGACCAGACGCCCATTGCACACCCACACCCCGCCTACAGTTGGTCACACCCCCACTTCGCCAATACTGTTATCGCTTAATTCACGAAGTTCAATTGACAGGAAGCGAATATGGTGCTGCATTGATATATGATACGCGCAATCGTATCAATCGGGGCAGCTATTGGCACGATGCCAGCGGGGAACTCGTTCAAAACTGCTTTCTGTCAGCCGTAAGCCCTCCAATGCAGCGCAGAGGAAAGGCGTTTTCGTAGGTTTTTAACCACTTCACTTTGCTTTTTAGTCATCTTCTCACTGTATTGCACCCCCCTAATACCATTTTAGAGCAACTTCAACCATCGTGCCTCATGCCTTTAAACAAACGTTGTGGAATACCTACCAAGATTTTTGTTGTCACAACAGATGCCCACAACAAATCCTCGCTGACAAGATGACCCTTCTGGGCATTTCTTCGTCACCTCGTCACAGTCTGAAGTTCCGTCAGCTCTATGTGTAGGAGGCGAATTTGCTGGGCATTTCAAATAGTCCACTAAATTTATACAGCATATGTGATGTACTTTCAACTCTATCGTAACTGCCTCTCTTACTTGGTAAGCACCTCATTCGACATTCAGAACTGGAACGGAATCTGTTGGCATTTCCACCGCATCCTGTGTACTTGAATGGTAGACAGTTCAACGTTTCTGCATCCAAATGGTACTAAAAAT